CACTACACTTCCGGACTGGATGGCCATCAAAATCGCATCCGTACTGGTCGCAAAGGGCAGCTTCGAGCGTGGAAAAGAAATTTTGGATTCACAATATCTGATGACAGGAGCCGATCAACGATTTGGTTGTTTAGATGCTTATTCGAAGTGTCAATTATCAGAACTGATGAATCAATTCGCCTTGATTCATTGATGTTACCTATTGCATTGAGTTTCATGTCGCTAGAACGCCTTCAAACATAGAAACTGTTGCATAGAGTTAATCAGCCTATCCGCAGCTGGCGAGCTTCCTCATAAAACTTTGTTTTCGTTTGGGATTTCCAGCAACTTTGCTAGTGTATCATATGAATTTTGTCATGTTAGCAAGCCTGATACGAGCAGATTCAATGAGATCGCGTGCGGAATCGAACAGATAGGTCGTCAAGCCCGTGTGAGATCGCGAAACTTCGTAAAAATTTCCATTTAATGGCGATAGCTTCATTTGCAGCCAGAAATGCATCTGTTGACGATCATCAGATCTTGTCTGCACTCGAGAGGATCTTGAATGAAAGCAGCACAGAAGCTGCGGCCAGTCAGTACGAATCAGCGAAGCTCTTCTTTTTGTCATTACTCGATATGCGTTTCACATCGTTGAAAGACGTCTTCTTGAAATGCTTCATGCAATTTCTTGTCGAAAGGTTTCCATTTCACATTCTTGTGGACAGTAATAAACGAATGAATGGACTCTTTCACAAAATCGCCTTTCTTCGGTTTTGAAAAGAGTTTTCAGCTTCCTTGATTTCAGATACTGCAACAATTTCTAAGTTGTAATATCTTATGGACTGTTGCAATTTTTTCTGTTATTGAAAACAGTTCGATTCACTCAAAATAGTTCAATTGCCGTAATTAAACCAATTTCAGAGACGAAATAGCCAAGGCGATCATGGATTTGAATGAATTTCTTTCCTATGGCAAATCGAAATCAACAAGTGGAGCGATGTTCATCGTGCTCAGAGCTGCATATTGCTCAAAAGATCAGCATTTGATCGAGCAAGGTTATCGGAATGTCCATTTGTCATATCACCTATCTCACTGACTGGTCATTGCACGCAATCCAAATCAAGAGAATTTCTGAACGAATTGAATCAACGATTCTCCGAGTTTTTCGATTACTCTCTAATTTTGCTTAGTGATATTCAATTGAATAGAACTTTACTTGTTTGGAATTTCTTAAAAATGATTTCAGTAAAAACTTCAATGGAAAATTGGATAAAATCGAACTTGCAAAGGGTCTGTTTGAACGGTTGTGTTATGCTCGCTGAAGAGAAACCAATTGAATTCGCTGAATATTTACGTGTAATTCGTTTCGTTTGTTGATAATTTTCTGCTCAAACTTCTTATATGAATGCATACAGTAGAGACAATTCTCCCGAAGAGATTACTAAACGGGTATGCCTCGTATGTTTCCCGAATCGCTTACCATATTCAGCGTGTGCGCAGTGTTCAGAGTTATTTTCGCTTATAAAGTACCATATTTTAGTGAATGTAAGCTCAACCCCAAATATGGGTCCATTTTTGAATAGAATCATCATACTAAGAGATTACGAGAAATGCAAATCGTGGACATAAATTCAAGAGAATGCATTACGTGTATTTTTGATGCAATTCATTGTGATGATCTCTTTTCATTTTCAGAAAGAAGAGCAATCGTTCGATGATGACCACTTGAATTACTTGTGTGAATTCGCTCTTCACAATAAAGAGGTGTTACCTTTTGGCTCAGCAATTCATTTTCACTCTTATTAGTGCTGTTGCTTCTTAATATTAGTATATTTTATTGATATTGTTATTTATTATTGTTATTATTATAGCATATTGTTATTTTTGCTGTTATTGATATTACCAAATTTTATTTCGTTATCATCGCGGTTATAGTTAAAGTTATTATCATCACTGTTTTTACAAAGATATTATTTTTATAAGGTATTCATTCTTAGCATTGGGCTTTGGACTTTCTCAGACAGTTATTCTACTTTTTTGATCATTCGAATGCACTAATCATTAGACTCAATACGATTTTCTTGTACTTTTTGAAGCATTTCGACGTGTTTCATTGTCATTTTCAGCCGAAGATCATCGAATCGTTGATTGAAATTCCCGAATTATTCAAATTGGATGTAAAATCACGTAATAAAGCCTGCGAATATTTGGTTGTTTGTTACGGTGAATTGTTCATTCTATTTTTCATGTTTTCAATAACTTATAATTTTATTTGTTGTGTTGTTCAATTTGAAAAAATTCAGCTTCTGTGATGTTTATGGAAATATTTAGAAAATAGAAGCATTTCGAAAAAAAAACTTCAGTTTCTGAACGGCATCCAG